GATATATCAAAACGTATCAAATTGTACACTTTAAATATGTGTGGTTTATTATATGTCAATAATACATCAATAAAGTTGTTTTTAAAAAAGAATTGCTATTTATTCTTGTTCATTGGCTTTTAAGCTGCCAGCTTTTTACTTTCATTATTACGTAAATTAGGGCAAACTGCTGCTATATTGTCTGGATAAAGGTATTTCTTTCGTCTTAAATCTGACCCCTAGTGTCTCTCCAACTAATCTCTCATTAACTGGATAATAAAAGACAAAGGAAGTTTCAAACAGAAGGGGCAGCGTTCCCCAGACATCCATAATTACCAGGGACTAATTCTTTCCATTCTCCATCTAGCAGTGCTTCTGAGTTCTAGAACGGTCATTTTAATCAGCCTGGGGTGATCTTATTCCAGGGCAGGAATCACAGGGCGGGAGAAATAGGGAGGGATGGAAAGCAGGACTATACTGACATCTTCGGAGGGTGGATTGATGTAGGTAGTTTAAAAACAAAGCAGATCAATGTCCTACTTATGATTTTTCTTTGTTATATTTCTTAATTTATTTTGATTCCAAGAAGAGAGGAAGGTTTATAAAGATGAGAAATACTATTTTAGAATATGACTATTACTTTTGAGTTATCGGCTCTTAGCTTTTTGCAGTTTTGACAGTCAGAGGCCTTTTCCCAGGAAAATGAACAATGCTTAGTGTTTTGTAAAAGTGTAAGAGTTCTACAGAAGCAGACCCCAAGAAGCAGCTCATGGACTCCAGGCTCAGAGCCCGTATCTTCAATCACTTTGTTTTCAGATGCCCTCAGGGCTGTTTCAGGGTAACAGGAGCTCTGGACACAATCTGTGCTCCCGGAAGTATTTTTTCAAGTGAGTCTGATGGGTAAACATCAGCAATGGGAGAAAAGGTCTTAGAGCTTTTGGAGAGGAAGCAGAATATAAGCCTTGGCTACAAATATTGGTTTTGTTTCCTGTAAGCTGTGTAATCATGGGAAAAGTACCTAACTTCTCTGAATCTCACATTTTCTCATATTTAAATATGGGAAGACTAGTATCTATTCAATCTACTTTACAAGTACCATGTGAGGTACTCAAATAAGACCTTGTTAAAATCTGGCTGTGTACGTGCAAAAACTATCAAATGTAAATAATTATTACTCTGCATAAAAGGATAGGGACTACAAAAATCAAAGGGGACTTTTAAATAATGCGTTTGAATATATGCTTTTGAATTGGGACAAATGAGCCTACTTTGCCTTCCAGAATGATCAAGAAGCTATATGAGAGCGCAAGAGTACTGTGCAAATGCCAGAGATGAAAATCAGTTCATTTGTTTCCTGTAACGCATTTGCTGTGGCCACTAAGGTTGTGGGAATTTTCATCAAAAGCTTTCTACAACCTGCCACCGTAGGATAGCACGCTGGGGGGTTTGAAGTCCCCTGTGTTGTCATGAATGCCCTGTCCCTTCAGTAGTTGTGCTCCGCATCATCATGGACCACCCAGAGGCTATCACAGAATAATTCTAGTACCAGTGAAGAATATAACATGTTTGCAAAATTTACTGCTGCTTTGACAACAGTTTTTTAAAAATACCTGTCTAGGCTATTATTACAAAAGTGAATGTTGACTCCACCAACCTTGCAGGAGTCAGGACAGAGTCAGCGCTGATGTGCCATTTTTGCCTTTTCTTCCTCCAAGTGGAAAGCTTTTAAAGAGGTGTAAATTTCCCTGAACAGCATTTCAGCAATTCATGTATCATTTGGTTTTGAAAACTCCAAGCCTGTGACTGCCTCTTCCCTCTTCGATTCCATTGTATTGGCCGCCGTGCCGCCTCCAGTGCAAACTCATTTATAGTCCAGGGCACCAGCAACCTAGAGCTGCTTGAGCACCCCACAGGAAAGCAGTTACTCCATCAGAGGCCTCTTATTGTCCTCATCATGCCACTAATTTCTGCATGATTTAAATGTGCATTTGCCACTACCTATTATTTGCCTGTGCTGACACCACAGGTGCCATTATCAGAGAGGGCTCGGCTGTCTATCTTTTCCTTCCCTGCAGTGTCAGCCTCGTATTCTGACATTTGAAAGGAGAAACTGCAGAGGTGATTAGAATCTAGTTCTTGGCAGGCTCTTAACAAAGCACTTTGCGCTGGGTGAGAAGTCACAGATCCTGGGTTCCTGTCCTGGCTTTGCCATTTGCAAGTACATAAACACAGATAATTTACTATGCTTTAATCTTTTTGAGTCTCAGTTTCCCACTTCAGAGTGAGATGACAAAACAAGAGTTTTAGCCTGTTGGAGAAATTTTATGTGGGTTTCCTAAACATCATCTCGCTTTCAGCCTCTGGGGACTATGTGAAGTGCAGAAGAGGTAACATGATTTTAATTAACATAAAACGACATCAGTCATGTGACATCCTTTCTTCATGCTGTCAAATTCCTCATCTCAAGCCTAGAGATACAAGTGCAAATGCTTCCAGGCAACAGCTGGGCTGCACACCACTAGGACCTCTGAACACTCAGCCTGTATTGGGAGAAAGTCACCTATTCTGGGCCCTGCACAGAGATGGAGGAAGGCCAGATGTTGTACTCTGCAGGAATGGCTGCTGGCTCTCTCTGCACGATCAAAGAAGCACCAGCTGTTCCTTGGTATGATCTGGTTTCAGGAGTCAGTAGCAGAATGATAGATCAAGTCATGGCACCTGCCTCATCCTTCCCATTAGTGTGCTTGGTTGGGGAAACAGGGCATGGCAGACACAGTGGACACCAACCGCGTTTCTACCTTTATGCCTTCAACCACATTTCTACCTTTCCCAGGCCTTCAGTCGTGCAAATTTCAGGGCTTGTCTGTTGCCATTCTGACCAATGAATTTGGAGCAGATGTGTTGGTGCCACTTACCGACTGAAGCACTAAGAGTCAGTCTGCTGCACCAGATTTCTGTTATCCTGCCTTGGCAACATGTTCTGTAGCTCTAAGATGGAGCTGGCTGTCCAGCCTGCACTGGACTTGACTTGAGCAAGAGATAAACCTTTGTTGTTTCAAGTCATCCAGATTTGGGGGCTTGTCTATTGCCGTAGCTAGAGTTAATTACCCCATTTCAAACAGGGTAAACAGACACTGGGAGAGAGAGAGTATTTGAAAATTATCTGGAAATAATTTCAGTTCTTAAGGAAGAGTGTTTTAAGAGAACTTTTCGAAAATAGGTGGTCAAGGAAAAATTATGGACCCATCCAATGAGACAGTGAGCTCAGGGTCACAACAGTGTTTAGGAAGAGCTTGTGTGCAAAGATGCTGTTAAGTATCTGCTGTCTCCCTGAACTGACTCTCCTGACGATCGATCAGAAGACTCCCTAAGATGGTGCCTGTGAAAGGCTACTGAGTGTAAGACGGTGCTAACTCACCAGCGATGGGTTTATGGAAAGTGTACCGAGCACATTTCCTTTCTCTAATGTCAACTCACTCTTTTGTGATTTCTAAGGGCGAAAAGACTCCAGACTTGGCTTATTGGATTTTCATTGTCCTTTTATAGGACCTACTAAAGCAGAATGACTTGGACATGGGCAGAAGGCACTTTTCTTTCCTAATTTACTAGATCTCTTCCCATCTTGGGCTTCTCTCGCCTTTGGGTTGTTGCCAGGCAACAGCCTAAAGCCCTTGGTCTAAAACACCTCAGAGAAGCTCATCTTTTAAAAGAGTCAGACTTTAGTGGTTTCTTTTGACCTCAGTGAAAAGCAAGAGATGGACTAGCATCTTGGGAGGTGGCCTGCGGTAACTTCAGAAAGTTCCTTGCTGTTTAGGTTGTTGATAACAGCTTTTTGCTTTCTCATTCTCAGGCCACGTAAAAGCAGCTCACCTTCCATGACCTTCCCTGGTTTTTGCTTAGGAAAGAAGGTAACATGTGGCCACGGTGATTACCACTCAGCAGGCAGCTGAGACTGCTGTTCCCGCCTTGCAGGAGGTGTTGGGGCTCTAGGCGAGCGAGAGGTGAGGCTGGGAGCTGCACAAAGAGGTAGAGAAAATTCAAGGTAACAAGCCAGCCGCCTGCAAACGTAACACACCCGACTAAGAGAACTGGCCACTAACAATCTAGAAACTGTTTAGAGCGATGTTCAGCATATCTATTTTAAATCAAAACAATTTTTCAGGAAGAAATAGATTGTAAGGAGCATGGAGCTCTTCTAGTCTGAATTCCCCCAATTTCCCAGAGTTTGAACGCCAGCAGACAAAGATATGAAGGGGTCCATGGCAACCCAGGACTGACATTCAAGCCTCCAAACTTCTAATCACTGCCCGTTGTATTACACCCCTAAAACATCCCTCGGAGATGTACTGTGCAGATAATTCTTGGTAAAACTCCCCCACCTAAGAGAGGATAGCCTCAGGTTGTGGAGTTTCTATGGTCTCCATTCATTCATTCATTCATTCATTGCTTCTGATTTCAAGGATCTTTCATTCTTACATGGAAATGCTATCCACTGACCCAGACATTGACTTAAAGGGGAAATATGCATCTCCCTCTCCTTATTAAGCATGTCAGTGTTTTCTAGGGTTCAAGTCCTAAGCAGCAGTGGTCCGCAGTGTGCCCCCCAGGCCTGACTTCTGTTCCCTGAGGTGCTGGGTTAGTGCAGCGCTCTCTGCCTCGGGAGCAGAGAGGGTCCGGCTCACCTCCGGGCTCTTCCAGACTCGTCAGGGGCCAGGAGGATGGGCAGTCCTCCCAGGACCCCTCAGACAGGCCGACACCCACTCCTCATCAGGACTTCCTAGATTCTATGGGGCCAGCCTCCTTCCAGGAAAAGCAGTGCTCTCTTCCCCAGCCTTGCACTTTCCTTCCCGGGCCCCTGGGCTGTGGGCAGGCTCGGAGAGCAAATATGCAGCCTCCCTTGACCCAGGCACTGGCAGCCACCTGGCCTGGGAAGGGGGTTGGAGAGGTGAGGGCAGGGGAGCAGGTGCCTGTCTTACGACCATGGCTTTCCGAGAGTCACGACTTGAATGTAAAGTTGAGTTCATGTTGTTTTTTTCGTTCCTAAGCGTTTCCTCCCCACGGCTTCATAAATAGCCACCTCCTCTGAGCTCACAGATGTAGGTACAGCTGCTGGAGCCCTGCTGTGACCTCTCCTTTGCATCCAGTGCATCACATCAAGTCATGGTGCCATGAGCACCGGCTGTTGGTGCCGCGGGTTAGGAATGTGACACTTTGGGAGCAGAACAAACAGCAGGTGAGTCAAAAAAACATGGGCCTTACTTTGTAGGATGATAAAAATGGGCATTCTGTTGCAAACCTGAGGAGGCTAAGCGGAGAAAGGACACAACCCATGAATCAGATGGGCTGGAGACCAGGGCTGGGGACGAGACCCAGGCAGACAGAAGGCTTGAGGACAAGCAGAGAAATCAAAGTTCAGGCCTGTCAGAGAAGGAAGAGCCTGAGTCTCCCATAAGCTGCCAGGTGTGACAGTCAAAGGCTGTCTTCACCAGGGAGCCGTCTCTTAAGACAGAGATGCTCACTGACAGAGGACGAGGCTGAAAGCTGCCTGCGGCCTGTGTTCCAGCAGCAGTGATGGCCAAAGCCCTTCCTTTGGCACAAACAGAGAAATACGCGTCAGGCAAATTTAAAAGGGCTACAGGTTAGCAGGGCCGCCTCTCGGGTGAATGTAAGCCCCGGCTCTGATGTAACTTGTTACCTCGGCGTCCCACCTCACCCCTAAATACACACAGACACACACACACTCATGCACACATACACCATGTGTGTGCATGTAGACACGTGTGTATATGTGTGAATTATACGTGATTAGTAATACATAAAACACTATACATACACACACACACAGAATTGAGTTTTGCAGGACTCCCGTGTCCTGCTCAGAGACTGACTGCTTCCTCCTTCCTCAGGCTGCCCCACCCGCACCCCATCCATCGTGATTCCTCGGTCCCGAGCTGTGCCCTGGGCAGTGAGTGCCTGGGCTTCAAACCTTTTCAAGTGCCTTCTGTTCCTCAAAACCGACCTGTTCAGTGTCCCATTTCCTAAGCACCCTTTCGGTGGGGTTGGTTCCAATCTGACTAGCTAGTTCCACAAGGTGGTTGCTAATGACTTACTGTGTTATGCTATTCAGAGAATATGTTTGCATGTTAACCAGGTCCTTCTAGCTTTATCCCAAATGGACTGCTGCAGGGAGGGGCCTGGATGAGGGAGCAGTAAGGGAGGTACCCAGGATGCAAAATTTAAGGAGGTGCTGGCACAACTCCAAGAGTGAGTGAGTGCTTCCTTAGATTTAGTGCCTTGGGAGCTTTTCTTGCCTCCTCCCGAGCTTAGGCCCTGACTGCCAGATGGTGGAAATGTAAAGTTTTGTGATCAGCAAGAAGAGAGAAACTTCTTGTCTCCAAAAATCACATTCCATGGGTATCTGCTTGCTCTGCTAAGTATTAACCTGGGGACACTCTAGTTCTTAAATTCATTTGCTAAGTCAAAATATAAAATATCACATAAAAGATGTTAATTTGTTGAGATATTTCTTAATGCTTGACAATTTTGAAAGAGAAAAAAAAGAGATTCTGGGTAGCAACTGAAAGGAGTTGGGCATACAATGATACTGATTTGACACTGACTTTGTTTTATTTTTGTAGAGTAGTGATTCGGAAATAGGTTGTATTAAAGATAAATTTAAGATATAAAACTAGACATAATGAAGAAAATAAAGCTTGTGAGGTCAAAGACACAAGTATAATTCTGAAATAGATTAATTGCTTCAAAGGCAAAAGTTACAAGGTTCCCAGGGAACACACATCAGCATGGGCAAGTCTCACCACTGACGTGGAATCTGCACGTTTCCAGGGACTAATGAATGCAGTGATGATGTTCGGTGACTTCCTGTCACCTTGCCTAAGTCACCAGTGCAAAGGCAATGTTGTGATCGTAAGGAATATGTAGTGCAATTATTCTGGAGATTCTGGAAATCATCCTGGTCATAATCGTTTTATCCAAGTGGAAAATTAAATGAATAGGAAACTATTGTGTTGTATTCTTATAAAGGAGTAGTGGTTTTGAACAACAATTACTTTTGAAAACAAATGGGCTATTAGTTCAAATCTATCACTAAAGGCTTTTTTTTTTGAAGTATAGTCAGTTACACTGTGTCAATTCTGGTGTACAGCACAAGGCCCCAGTCATGCGTATACATACTGGATCAGCTGAAAATAAGTTATGTGGCTTTTGCTGCAGGGATTCCTATTAAAGAAGCAACAATACGTGATTTCCTCTAGCAGGTGTATATAAATGATTTTCCAGCTTCCAAAACTTCCTTCTTTTAATTGAAGTATAGTTGATTTACAATGTTGTTTTAGTTTGGTGTACAGCAAAGTGATTCAGTTATACATATGAATATAGGTATATTCTTTTTAAGATTCTTTTCCATTATGGCTTATTACAGGATATTAAATATAGTTCCTTGTGCTATACAGTAGGATCTTGTTGTTTGTCTGTTTTATATATAGTAGCGTGTATCTGTTAATCCCAAACTCCTAATTCATCTCTCCTCCCATTTCCTCTTTTGGTAACTATAAGCTTATTTTCTATGTCTATGAATCTATTTTTGTAAATAAGTTCATTTGTATCATTTTTTTAGATTCCACATATACGTGAAATCATATAGTATTTGTCATTGCTTGACTTACTTCACACAGAATGAGAATTTCTAGGTTCATCTATGTTGCTGCAAATGCCATTACTTTATTCATTTTTATGGCTAAGTAATATTTCACTGTATGTATGTGTGTGTATAGATACATAAATATATATATATATATTTCACTGTATGTATGTATGTGTGTGTATATATATATGTGTGTGTGTATATATACATAAATATATATATATATTACATACCATATTTTCTTTACCCATTGATCTGTCCATGGACATTTAGGTGGCTTCCATGTCTTGGCTATTGTAAATAGTGCTGCTATGAACATTGGGTGCATGCATCTTTTTAAATTAGAGAAACTTCTTTGTGACTTCCAGTCATTCTTCTCCAGGGGTTGCTTGATATACTGGAACTACAGAGTGTGACCATGGAGTAGGAAGGAAACTGAGGAAGCTGCATTGAAACTTGCTGTACATCTTTTCATCAATACTGAGAAAGGGATGACTGTTACTTTTCTTTACCACCTATTTTTTTCTCATTTTTTTGTATTCATGTTTAATTATTTATTCAGCAGCTGTACAGTGTTGTGCTCACCCTGATGAGGGTAGGAGCGTGATGGAGAGATATTTGCAGGAATCCAAAGCCTGTCCTAAACCTCAAGCTAAACCCTTTGGTGTACGAGGGTTAGGTTTCTTTGGGTGTGCAATATCTTAATGAATAAAATAACATTAGATGTTCCATTGATTTGTCAATTTTTTCTCTTTCACTATATCCAGCTATCAGGTTTTGCATTGTCTGCAGTCAAATTCTGATTTCACTTCTCCAAGCTACCATCTTTTATTGGCTTCCCATTGCTGCTGCTGAAAATTTAAATTCATGGCATGATCCGTCCTCTTTTAGCCTCTCTAACCTCATCTTCCTCTACTTTCCATGTTCCAAGCACACTGGCCTCTTTCTCTTCCTTAAGCATTCAAGGCTTTTTACAAGTTTGGGCCTTTGTTTGTGTTCCTTCTGTCTGCGATACTTTTCCTCCAGCTCTTCCCTTGGTTCTTCCATGCTTCGGTCTTAGCTAAAATATCACCTTGCAACAGAGCATCTAACTCCATTTTTGTTGCTTGACCCTCCATAGCTTCAAGCTCTGCTTCTCTGGGCAAGCCAGTAACAAAGCCTGTACCCTCACTCTCTTGGCACAGCTACAGGTGGGAAGTCCAAACCTTGCCAGCTGCAGCCCCATGCGTGGGAACTCTCATCCCAGCTCCACCCTGAGACCACAACAAAAGCAAACCCACATGGCCCTCCCTTTGCTTGAGCCATTTGAATTGGCTTGGGTATCTTTTTTGCTCTCCCTACAAGGCCTCATTATGTGAGTAATCAACTTTTTCATAAATCTTAGTGGTTGTGTGTCTTCATCAGCCTCCATACTGAAACCCACTTTGAGTGGGGGGTTTGATCTGACCCTCTGTGTTGCAACTCCAAGACACACCTCCTCAGAGAAGCCCTCTCTAGCAGTCATCCAGAGATGGCTTTGCCCATAATTCTTTATCTCATCACATTTTCTATGTCATACTCTATGGAAAAGTCTTTAATGCTTCCTGTTGTCTGCAAGGAATCTTATATTCAGAGCCTCCACAGACCGACCATGGCACCTCCAAACGTGTCTACCCTGCTCTCTGAGCCCCCATTTAGCTAGTCTGCACGTCTCACTAGGCTATGATGATCCCCTTTCCATCTCCTTACTCATTGTAATTCCGTTTACATGGAAAGCCCTGACTCTTCTCTACTTGTTCAAGACTGGTCCATTCATCCACCCATCAGTCTCAGATTTAGAACTATTTCTTCCATGAACCCTGCTAAATAACTTCAAAACTCAGTGATTACTTCCACCTCTAAACTCTTACAGAAGTATTTCCTGGCATGGTTTCTCCCAGTACTTTCCTCTTTCTTCATTTCAAGCAGGCAGCCAGATCCTCAGGAATTTTGCCAAGAGAGAAAGAAAGAGAAGTCTGAAATCAACAGCTTTTCCAATGTGATGTAAAAGCATAACTCACTGAGTTGATTATATCAGTACCCTGGAGCATCAGGAGAGGGAGGGTTCTTTGAGAGGCAGCTAGAAAGAGTGGCGAGTGTTCTCTGAAATGGTGACAGGAGAGAGATCTGAGACTCACAAAAGAGTGGAGACTGGGTAGCAGTTTTAAGGCAGCATCCCAGGGTCAGGGGCAAACTGACAGGCCTTAGCTGTGGGTTATGCCAAAGAAGGTAACACCCTAGGCACCAGAACTCAGCCTCCCCCCAAACTGTCAAGCTCTAAGCAGACCTTCAAAGTGGCAGAGTCTTTGATCTTGAAGGAATCGTGCAGACTGTACCATAGTGTCTCAAAATAACTAATGTGAACAGGTGACTAGTAGCCTCCCAGACTTGGATGCTTCACCAGCTCAGGGAGAGGAGCCCTTGGCATTGACTTAGGTTGAATTTCCATTCAATGTGGGACAGAATTAGGTTGATCTCGAAAGGAAAGATATGTGCTGTTCCTCGCACTTCCGAGTTTGTAGACTTATTATCTTATACTTGCTACTCTCGTG